AAATTTTACATTTTCATAATAAAATAAGTCAAAATTTCAGCATCATCCGATTTCAGCATCATCCCCGACATTAAATAAGTAAAGACTTTAAAAGATACTTATTGATTGTGTTTTTTTCATAAATTTCTAAACTAGAATAAACGATAGCTCCACTCTCTGCTAGATTATAAATATTCAGTTGTTCTTTGATGAGGACAGATGGTATTTGATAAATTTATGTGACTTTTTCATTGGTTAGGACTGCTAGTGAAACTTTTCATAGTAATTCTTTTTTAAGCCGATTAATAATAAGAACTAGAATTAAGCATATTATTTAGTTAATTTGGAAAAGGTAGATAATGTTTCAATAATAGGACTAAGCAAAAAGTAAGCAACATCTCATTAATAGTCTAATACAAAGCAATAGGCCTTAAGAATAGCGATAACAAACATCACCATGATTTATAAGCTTTCCAAAATCTATATACCAATAAAATTTTCTAATTCTTCTATATCTTTTTGTAATTTTTGAACCATATTTAACATATCTTTTACTTCTATTCTAAATCTATTGTTTACTTCATATGGATATTCGCAAAATTCTTTAATAGTATATTTTACTTCTTTAAAAATTATATAATTTTCTTTATCATCTACGTTTTCAATCTTATAATTTTCAACTAATACTGATTGTTTAGAAAAAGGTCAATGTTCTAGATTTTGTATTTGCTCTTTGGCCAATTCTATAATTTCTAAAGCCAATAAAGGGCTATCATATCGCAAAAACATATGATTCTCAGTTCGAGTTGGCAAAATGTCCAATAGATCTCTTTTATATATATTACTAATTTTTCTGTTATTCTTCTTAACAACTAATTGTTCAGAAATAACTGTTTTGGAAACAGTTTGATGTTCTAGATTTTCTGCTTGGTCATTATCAGCCCAATTTTTGCTTTCTAAAGAAGATAAAAAATCATTATGTCGTAATCTTATATTATTCTCATTTGGAGTTGGAAAAATTGCTTTATAAAATTTAAAATAGAATTGAATATAGATTGTTTTTGCCTTTTTTTTAATTTATAATTCTCAGAATTGAGGAATTTGTTTGATTTAGCAAGATAAGATAACATAGAGATATTCTGAAATTTTATCATATTACTTATTTGGTTTCTATATTTATATAATATTAGGATAATGAATGATAAATTAAAATACAATTTGAAGATCAGAATTTGGGATTTGTTTGTAAATTTTCTAACTTTTAATTTGGGAAAACGATTATTATGTGTAAAATGAATTTCTTGAACTTGACCATCCTTATGAATTTTTTTATAAGGATTAAAATTGAACTTAAATAAATACGTAATTATTAGTTCTAAGCAATGACTAAACATAAATATAGAATCGATAAATATTCGGTTTCTAGTTAAATCAAAAATTTTTTTGGAGATATTAAGCAAAAAAGAAACTGAAAGCCTGTTATTATTAGAAATTGCAGGCTTAAATTTATTGACGTTATCGTTATTGATAATTTTTCGAAATAATAATGCAATATAATAGAAAGAATAAATAAATTTGGAATAAATACTAAAATAAATACTGCAATGAATATTGCAATGGTTGATAAAAGAATCAATATAAGTGAAACAAACGAGTAAAGAATCCCTTTAGCGATTTTTTGTAAAAGATTCAGAGTTAAATAATATTCTAATAACATTTTGATTAAAATTGATTAGGAGCAAAATGTTTTCATGTTCCTTTTAATACAGTTTGTCGTAAATGAACATGTTTAAATAAAGAGATAATTAATTCATTTTTGTTTTAATTTATACTCTTTTTGCTGCAGTTATCTGTATTACCTATTTTACAAACCAACCATTAAAATGAAACTCTGAGTCCTGTATGATATACAGAATTTTATGATAACAATTAATCTATAATATATAGTGCTGATTTGTTACGCAATTACTGTATACGTGTTAAAATATATCAAATATTATAATTTTTTAATTTTTTTAGTATAAAAGTATATAAGTGCTGATCTGTTATGCAATTACTGTATATGCGTTAAAACATATCAAATATCATAATTTTTTAATTTTTTTAGCATAAAAATATATAAATACGTGCTATTGTAAAAGGCTTTGTTCGATGATTAATTTTTTTGTAAATGAACTTGTTCAAATAAGGAGATAATTAATTTATGCAGTTATTTGTATTACCTATTTTACAAATATCAAAATGAAACTTTAATAATGTTGATCATGTCCTGTTGCCCAAATAAAATATTATATACGTTTATTTTGTATTTTAAAATAAAGGAATGGTATAAAAATAGCATTTTCTCAGATTCGTTCAAAACTTTTATTATTCAAAATTTGAAAATAAAAATTATTAAAATGAATCATTTAAGAAATGCAACAAACTATCAAAATGAGGAAAAACTCATGAAAAGTTCGCTTTGAAAATTTTATCACATTTTAGAAATATGAAAAAAATGCTCTTTGAATTGTGTACTTACAATTATATTCTAGCTATTCTAATTGTTATATTGATTCTTGGGGCTTTTGTTGTAATTTTGATTTGGCAGTTAGAATTTTTTTTCTCTCATTAATTGATACAAAAAAGCTTGAACTGACTTTATTGATCCTTATATAGAAAAAATTCGTGGCATTTATATTTGTATACAGATCCTTATGAGCTAGTTGTGCATAGAACTTTTGAAATTAACCATTCTGAACCTTGGTATATGTTAAAAGTATGAATTACACATATATGACTTTTTTGTTATAATTATCAACAGATATAGTGGATTTGGGCACCCAGATTATGATGGGTTGGTGCTGATATAATTATTAATTGTAGCATTTCTTTTTGAGAATATATCAATGAACGTTTATTAATTATTTAGCTGGCCGAAATTTTAATAATAAATAAATGGGATTTCTCCAGAACTTTTGGTAAAGTAATTCAATTCAAATTGTGGGTCATATGATATTTAGTCATGCAAGATTACACAGCATAAATTTAACCTATTTAAAAAGTTTTTTTTCTCTAATTAAGCTATTTATACTTACCTTTGTAAGCAATATCTATAACTTTTGTTTTTTTGAAAAAAAATTTGATGCTTACAGAGCACACTTTGCCAAAAGTAGTAAAATTATCATAATTCGGAAATAATTCGAGTTTTTGGTTAATTAATTAAGTCACTTTATTTAAGTAATGGATGGCGGTGAGATAAAAATGCAAGATATAGTTTTATTAGATAATGAAGATCAAGAAAATACTACAAACAACAACAAAAAAAAAGAAGCACTATTATAGCTACAAATCTCTATAAAGATCGAATAAATGGTGTTGCATAGAAAAAACTGATTCGACCTTCAATTTCTCTAGTTACACCATCTAATACACCATATGTTTCGCAAACATAGAAGGAATATTATAAGCAAATAATGAAAAGTAAAGAACAAACAAAGACCGATCTGGAATAGATTAACTTATCTAGTAGACTTCAACAAACGTATACTATATATACAAGAGAAGAGTAAAACATATGTATTTGAAAATGAAAGAAATAAGGCTATTATTAATATTTTAAAAGAATCTATTCCTAAAGAACATAATTCGGAAAAAATGCGTTGAAAAAGGGTTTATGATTTACTTTTATCTTTAGTAGTTAGTGGTGATAAATTAAAAATTTCTTTTGAGTTGTATCACAAAATGCTAAGAGAACTGAATATGACTATTAATTATCTATAGTCAGTAAATAAAGATGAATTTGAAGACCTTAAAAATTATTTTTTGGATAAATGCAGCAAAATGATAGGTAAGCAAACTTTTTTTGTTTATTTAATTTAAGTATATATTAATTGTTATTTAATATTTTAGATTTGTGATACTGTTAAAAATTTAATCGATTTTATATTTTATTAGCTGTTATTATGTATTTTTATT